GCCTGAAAGTCTCAGGAGCCATGACATATTAAGTTGTTTTGGTTCACTTAACCGGATCATCCACTCTTGTACTAAGTCTTGTTGTATCATCCTCTGGTAATGGCTTACATTTCGGTATATCTCCCCATCTGAGAATTTAGTTTCATAGGAAAAATGTTCTTCCTCTTTAAGAGTAAACCCTATACAGTTCTTGTTTTAGCAATTTGGTCTTATAGTCGTCGGCAAGAGCAACATACTTGTGGAATTGAAAGAGTAGAGCTTAATTGTCCACCAGTAGTCGTCCAAAGATAAGAACCTTTTTGCAGCTTCAATTCGGTGTAGTCCATGGAGGCAATGAATATTAAGGCTTTCTGTGTTGACTCTCGGACGTGAATCGGGTTTAATAAGGGACTGCTGAAGCTCTTCTCTGGTAATATGAGAAGATTCAAGTAAAATTTCAAAGTCGTTTTGAGTAATGCTAGCGGGAATAATATTTTGGTCATGATCTCGATCGCATCCGTACTTGCCGTTTCTAAATACATTCGTAAGATAAGTGGCGATATTATCATCTAAGTGGCGCGTATTGTAGAAGTTTAGTGAATTCAAATCAACTTTTACAATCCCTAATAAAGAAGAAGAAAGATTTTCCATCGAAATAAGAGAACTCTTAGTAAATAGCAAACAACTTAGATAAATTATAGGATTAGAAACTTTATATATAAATATCTAGGATTATAATAAATCCAAAATTAGATAGAATAGTATATAGTACTAGAACTTCTATACTTATTATACTAGGTTAAAAATACCTACTTTATAGCTTTTCTTCTTAGACCTAAGATCTATACTATATAAGTAAATATTACTATTATTTTACTACATTTCTAGAAATCAAGGTAGCATATAGTAATAGTATTAGTTAGCTTCTTTCTAGGAACTAAGAATATTAAGTAATAGTATTATTTAGTTACATTTCTAGGAATCAAGAGCAGTATAGAGTAATAGTATTATTTAGTTACATTTCTAGGAATCAAGAGCAGTATAGAGTAATAGTATTATTTGGTTACATTTCTAGGAATCAAGAGCAGTATAGAGTAATAGTATCATTTGGTTACGTTTCTAGGAGTATTTATCCTATAGGTAATCTTACTTCACCTAAAGGATATAACTAGGGGAGAAGATCTTAGATCCTAGAAAATATTTTATACATAAAGCGAAGATCATGGACATGTCAATAATAAATTTAAGCGGCATAACTTTTCATTCATCATCGCCTCGCAGAAGCTTTTTCATGGCTCAATTTAATTATGTCTGGCTTGATCTCTATAGCCAAAGGCGAAACCTATATTTGCAAGAGCATGCTCGGGCTTATTCTGCACTACAGCATTTGCCTCATCCAGAGTTTCAAAAACCACAACTTATCACTGTAATTGGAGGGGCGACAAAAAGAAAATTTACGGAAGACCTCTTTTCGCTGAAAACAAGAAGTCACAGAAAAGTCCTACTACGTTTGATCCCAGGATTCTCTACAGCTAACTCTCCTCTACTTCTCGCCGATGGGGAGCTTCATAGTATTGTACCGCCATTTAATGAAGATCTTCCAGGAGTTGAAAGACATTTACTTCAATGGCACCGAGATATCCCGCGGAATTTCGAACCTAATACTTTTGCGCACCTGATATATACACAACTTCTTCTCCCCTTTAGTACAGTCACGTGCGTATTCGAAAAGGACTTTGGTGGAATCAGTAATACTGCGAAATCCATAGCTTCCTGGTTAACAACACTTAAACATTCACCATCGGAATTCCCCTCAACTACCCTAACTCGTCTACTGATTTTCGTTGAGTGGACGGACCCTAGTAGCAGTTTCGATGAAAGACTTGCAATGGATACATTCATATCATTGCTTAGAAAGGTAGTTAGCGCGCGGAATGGGAACAAAGAAATTTTGGGAGATGAGAGTTTGACTAATATTGAGGTCGAAAGTATACTAAAAGAACGTTTCTTTGAAATTCGTCTCCTTGACCTTCCAGATAGTGATAGAAAGCTCACGACGATCCGAATGAGACTTTTTCGAGAATCACAGGACATCCAAGATTTTCGTGAAGCTGCTCAGAGAGCTCTTTCCGGCCGCCACCTTAGAGCTTTCTTTCATTACGCTTGCTGTCACTTTGCACGCGATATCGTATTTCCTTATAGTTTTATAAAAGCTTCAAGAATTCCTAATCCAGTTCCAAGAGATTTCTCATTGCGTATTCGCGAATTCGTTGGGATAATTCCAACGGAACACAAAGAGGTTCTTGCACCTGTTATCGCCTCTGCACTTTGTCTAGACAGCTTTCCACCTGGAGCACATAGTAAGTGAAAAAGCCACAAGTTATAAACGTCTCTAACATATAGCAGTTTTCGAAGCCACGTTAATTTTCAATAAGCTCTACTTGAAAATGCTTCAAGATGCACTGGCTACTTATAAACAAAATCCACAGATTATACAAGAAATTGAGAGTAGATTTTCCGACTATAAAGACCACTACACAACTGCTGCGAGTCACAAGAAGATTCTACAGTCTCTCTCATTCCTTTGGAATAACACATTTACGAACTTATTATGTCTATCATGTCTTGCAAGAAAGCCTGATGCCGTGCTGCCTTGTAGTCACGCCTTTTGTCACACATGTATTTTTATCCATGGTCAAAAGGATTTAGAGGATCCATGGAAATTCGAATTATTCTCCTGTCCATTATGTGCTAAATCATTTCATAAAACAATAGTTTTAAAGCCCTGGACCGCTGGAGTTCGAGCTTTGGTTATAGATGGGGGAACACATAACGATTATAAAACTCTGAGAATGCTCGGTAATGAGTTGGATTTAAAAATGGAAATTGAGGAGTTTTTTGATATAGTCAATGGAACGGGGCTAGGTAAGCATCCTCTCCGCCCTCGGGCTCACTGGCTGATAGCATAGGTGTGTGGGCGATTATACAAAATTTCTGCAAGGACCAGACCGTCGACAACGCACAAAACTTTCAGAAGATCCAGCGTGCAATTCACGCACCCGTCGATGATAATGCTTTAGAGTCTAGGTTTTCTATGGATAGTCTTAATCAAGCACAAGGTTCTGAACTGGGGATCGCATGGAAACGCCTGAATGGCGCTTTTAAGGTGCTGCCCCGCTGGAGTGATACTATACAATCTTCGATGGCTATTGCATCAAGTGTCAATGCTATCTTTGGAGAGACAACCCTTTTCGAAGCCTCTAATGGAGGAAGGAAAGTATGCATTACTGTAAGCAGGTCTAGAGACTTGGCGACATGCGTCCTCTCCAACTATAATGGAAATGCAGATAGGTCAAGTAGTTACCAACACGTGCGTGCGAAAAAGATGAAGAATGAGATCTTGATTTCTCAATGGTAATGTCTCATCAACCCTGCCATTATCAACTCACTAATCGATATCGCAGTGCTCGGATGTCACTTTCTGACAAATCAGTACATGGATACCACAGCAAGGAGATAGACGTGCCAAATGAGACAGTGGATATAACACTAAAGGAGCAAGATATTATCTGGAGGCGGAAGGGAAAGGCTCCGGACATCATGATTGCAATCGGGACACGCATTCCTCCATATGATCAGATACTACCGAATGTGGATGTGGATTGGCTGATGGACTTCCGTCAACGATATGAAAAGACAAGACTAAGACGTAGCATTGATGCATTGCTAGCATCATTGTTCTATATTGAATTAATGGGTGTCCCTCAGTTCAGCAACCAGGGCTTCATAGTTTGCAGACTACGGCTGCGTTGCAGGGTACACCCCTCCTCGTCAGCCTACCCAGTGCTTATTCGGAAGCTGCGGAACGACCAAACACGGTTCTACTTCGACTATCAGAGCGTTCCATGTATTAGCCGGGAGATACTTGGAGAGTCTGAGCGAGGAATTTCGTTCTCTAGATGCATTGAACTTTCAATACCTAGCCTTGAAGAATGTATAGATGTGAAGATGCACGGGACAAGAATGAACAGCACAAGCATTAGCAATTGTCCATACAAGGCACAACAGCTCATTGAAGACCAAGGTTTGAACTGCTTTTTTGGTAATAAATACCATAGGGAAATACATTTTGGACCTATCTGCGATTTGCTTATATAATTCGCAGAATCCCATAAATCAATGAACTTAATGTAGTAACCGACACCCACATCGAAGACATAGTCCTATAGGGGCTGAAAATCTTGATAAACGTAAATATAGAGTAGCATAAGGTCCTTTGCAATGGTAGTGGATGCGGATACGCAAAGGAACTGAATAGCAAGCAGTGGATTAAACATTTGCAGAGACACAAGGTTCCCAAGGAGATAGCATTAGAGGCTTCATCATTCATCAAAGAACAGGTCGTTGATATCTGGTCAAACTAACGTCTGTCCCTACGTGCCGAAACGCACCCCGTAACGAAACAAATTATAGGTACTTCAAGTTCAAGCGACTCAAAATCTGTGAACTCGTTAAAATATCTATTCATTTCGAATTTAGTGAATTAACGTCTATCCCTGCGTGCCGGTAAAACCTCCATGCCGGAAAATGTAACCGGTACATTGACTTTAAATATTATCAGATCTATGAACGACGCAATGCTTCTAATTATTTTTTGTAGTTTTTATTCAGTAGCTATTTCTGGACATCCTAGATGGTCTTCGACTGGAAAATTTACTTTCCCGTTGTCGCCCTCCGTCTGATTTGCAGAGGGTCTCTTTTATGTCGGGTCAGAATTCCTACACCAGAGCTGTACCACTAAGCTTGCACTGTTTCCAAAGCTCATCGAAAGGTCTCAGTTGAGATTTTTGGCCTTCCCACAACGCGGGAGATCGTCAACAGTGTTGTGGCGGCTGGTGGCGTGCAGTCTGATATAAGACCGCCACATGGATCGGTACCTCGGATCGAAGCGAGTGACGATGTCGGTGAGGCACCAGCAGCGCACGTGCGATGTTTAGGCCAGACGCTCACTTATGTAATCAATGAACAAGAAGCTGGTGAAGCAATCTCGGAGCAATGTAGAGAGATATTGCCTGACATTTGCCTTACATACGAGGCAAAAGGTTCGTACTTCAAAGTTTCAAGGCCAATGTACGATCCGGGGTCTCTGTTCCTATCATCTTCTTTCCAAATACTTCGGTTTTCTTGTCAACGACAAGAGCAAATCATTGGACACCGATTTCGGTTATCTTATCTATGTCTTCCAGAATTTGGGGTTGTGCAACTGGCCGATTTTGCGCGCTTCCAGTCATGTAAGACAATATTGTTGCCGCAAGGCTGCCGCCCTGCTGAGTGCGCCAGCCTGAACAAGATAATTCTCCAACCTTCTCCCCACTTCATGTCGATACAAATGTGACGGCCCATCAGTTACCGAGAACCCTTCCGGCTACGATCCTCGAACCTGGTCGAACGATGCGTCTGCTACAGTCAGATGGCGATGACAACCTGAGCCTGGTCGAGTTCTTTGGAGACGACATGCCCAAATATGCTATACTTTCACACAGATGGGAAACGGGGGAAGTCACGTTTAAAGATATGATGGACGGCACGAGTAAAAGCAAGGCTGGCTACGGTAAGATACAGTTCTGCGGAGCACAGGCGAGGCGTGATGGCCTGGAATACTTCTGGGTAGACACATGCTGTATCGACAAATCGAGCAGTGCCGAGCTCTCTGAAGCTATCAACTCTATGTTTCGTTGGTACCAGAAGGCGACTAGATGCTACGTTTACTTATCCGATGTTTCGATACGAAAGCGGAAAGAAAGTGATAGGTCTGCCGAGTATACTTGGAAATCTGCTTTCCGAGCAAGCAAATGGTTTACACGAGGCTGGACCTTACAAGAGCTCCTTGCTCCAAGATCAGTGGAATTCTTCTCCCGGGAGAGCAATCGACTCGGTGATAAAGAAACTCTCGAGCAGCAAATCCACGAGATTACGGGAGTCCCTGCCACGGCGCTTCGAAAAAGCCCTCTCTCCCAGTTCGACGTCGATGAGCGATTCTCCTGGGCAAAAAGTCGACAAACCACACGCGCGGAAGACAAGGCATATTCGCTTTTTGGCATTTTCGATGTCCAGATGCCACTACTTTATGGCGAAGGAGAGGTCAAGGCGTTTCAGCGACTGCGAGACGCAGTCGATAAACCTTTCAAGGGTAAGTCCTACCCATACAATTAATGCTTAACTGTTAAGACTAGCGCTAACTAGAGTTCAGGTCCTGAGAAAGACCTACTCAGCCTCCTCCCCTTTGCAATAAATGCACCCTTCAACTCCCGCGACCACGAACACGAACCTGCCTGCCTTCCTGAAACGCGCGTCGACCTTCTACAAGAGATATATGGCTGGGCTGATGGAAGAGATGGGCAAGATGAGCAACGTATCTTCTGGCTCAACGGCCTGGCTGGGATGGGAAAGTCAACCATCTCCCGCACTGTCGCGCACGAATACAACAAGCAGAAGCGTCTTGGAGCCAGCTTCTTCTTCTCGAAGGGTGGTGGAGATGCGGGTCATGCTGGCATGTTCTTTACAACTCTAGCGGCGCAGCTCGCTAGAGTTGTGCCATCCCTTCGGCAGTACATCTGTGAGGCTGCTAAGAACCGGAACGATATTGCAAGCCTGTCCCTCTCGGAGCAGTGGCATCAGCTTGTTCTCAATCCACTATCAAATCTACACAGCGAGTCATGTCAGACTTACATTATTGTTGTCGACGCGCTTGATGAGTGTGAGGTTGATAAAGATGTCCGGATCATTCTGCAGCTTCTAGCTGAAGCTCGATCGTTGACGACAGTACAGCTTCGCATCTTTTTGACGAGCAGACCTGACGTTCCAATTCGACACAGCATACGTGCTATCCCACAAGCCGAACACCAGGACTTCGTACTCCACAACATACAGCCAGCAATTATCAACCATGATATCTCTCTTTTCTTGGAACACCATCTAGGGATGATAGGGCGAGAGTGGACTCTTGGATCCGAATGGCCAGGCGGAGAAGTTCTTAGACAGCTGGTTGAACATGCTAGTGGGCTCTTTATCTGGGCGTCGACGACGTGTCGGTTCATCCGTGAGGGGAGGCGATTTGCACGCAAGAGACTGGACACAATTCTCAAGGGTAGCAGTAGTGCTGTTACTGCACCAGAGAAACACCTTGATGAAATCTATCTTGCTGTCCTCAAGTACTCGATCTCCTCGGACTATTCGGACGAAGAGAAAGAAGAGGCATGCCATATTTTGAAGCACACCGTTGGAAGTATAGTGGTGTTGCTCTCACCTCTTTCTACCTCTTCGCTCAGCAGGCTACTACGCCTTTCAAAGGAAGAAGTGGACCAGACACTTGGAGATCTTCATGCGATCCTTGATATTCCAGAGGCTCCAACTTACTCAATCCGCCTACACCATCCTTCATTTCGCGACTTCCTCCTCAATCAAGATCGATGTGGAGATTTTTGGGTGAATGAGAAGGAGGCCCACCAGATGTTAGCTACGCGGTGTATACAATTGATGTCCCAGACACTCAAGGAAGACGTTTGCGAAATGCATGCTCCAGGTAGTCGCCCCAGCCAAGTTGAAAGCAGTCGTCTTCAAAAATGCCTTCCGCTTGAAGTTCAATACGCATGCCTCTACTGGGTACAGCATCTGCAAAGGGGTAATTCTCAGGTTTGTGATAGCGAAGAAGCCCACTGGTTTTTGCAGGCTCATTTACTGCACTGGTTTGAAGCGCTTGGCTGGATGGGGAAGGCTTCAGAAGGAGTTCAAGCAATACTTGCTTTAGAGGCTTATATTCCTGTCAGCTGTCTGTGTAATATTGTAGGAGCTTAACTAATTCGTTTTTAGTTTGACAGAAGTCCCAAGTTGTACGCATTCATTTACGACGCTAAGCGATTTGCCTTATATAACCGATCTATCATTGAACAAGCACCCCTCCAGTTATACTCTTCAGCCCTTATCTTCGCCCCAGAGATGAGCGTTATTCGGAGACAATTTGAAGGTTCTGTCCCGACTTGGATTCAGAGGAAACCCAAAGTACAAGCATATTGGAATGCTGCATTGCATACGCTCGAGGGCCACACTGGTTCGGTCGAGTCAGTAGCCTTCTCATGGGACGGCAAGCAGGTCGTGTCTGGTTCACGAGATAAAACAGTGCGGCTCTGGGACGTGGCTACGGGAACACTGCTCCAAACGCTTGAAGGCCACACTGACTGGGTCTATTCCGTGTCCTTCTCACGTGATAGTAAGCAAGTCGTATCTGGATCATTGGATTGGACAGTGCGGCTTTGGGACGTGGCTACGGGAGCATCACTCCAGACGCTCAGGGGCCATACTAAACTAGTCTCTTCTGTTGGTTTCTCAAGCGATGGCAAACAGATTATATCTGGATCACTCGATCAAACGATACGGCTTTGGGACGCGACTATGGGAGCACTGCTCAAAACGCTCGAAGGCCACACTGGTTCGGTCAAGTCAGTAGCCTTCTCATGTGATGGCAAGCATGTTATATCTGGATCAGGCGATTATACAGTGCGGCTTTGGGACGCGACTACGGGAGCACTGCTCAAAACGCTTGAGGGACACACTGGCGCGGTCAATTCCGTGTCTATCTCACGTGATAGCAAGTGTGTTTTGTCTGGATCTGATGATCAGACATTACGGCTCTGGGAGGCGGCTACGGGAGCACTGCTCCAGACGCTCGAGGGCCATAGTAGCAATGTTTTATCGGTGGCCTTCTCACGCGATGATAAGAAGGCTGTGTCTGGATCAGTCGATCGTACAGTGCGGCTTTGGAATGTGGCTACAGGAGTACTGGATCAGACACTCGAGGGTCACACTGACTGGGTCTATTCCGTGTCCTTCTCAAGTGACAGTAATCAGGTCGTATCTGGATCAGGCGATCAGATGGTGCGTCTCTGGGATACGGCCACAGAAGCAGCGCTTCAGATGCCCGAGGGTCACACTAGCCAAATTTGTTCTATAGCCTTCTCACATGATGGCAAGCAAGTTATAACTGGATCAGGCGATTATACAGTGCGGCTCTGGGACGCGACTACAGGAACACTGCTCAAAACGCTCGATGGCCACACTAGCAGGGTCCTATCAACAGCTTTTTCATATGATAGTAAGCAAATTGTGTCTGGATCCGAGGATAAAACAGTACGGCTCTGGGATACGGCTACGGGAGTATTACTCCAGATATTCGAGGGCCATACTGACGGGATCTATTCCGTGTCCTTTTCAAGTAATGGCCATCAAGTCGTATCTGGATCAGGGGATTGGACGGTGCGACTTTGGGACGCGGCAACAGGAGCCTTACTCCAGATACTCAAGGGCCACACTGGCTTGATCTCGTCAGTTACCTTCTCATACGATTGCAATAGAATCATATCTGGATCATGGGATTGGACAGTGCGGCTCTGGGATGCGGCTACAGGAGCATTGCTCCAGATAAAGGGCCATATCAACTCAGTCTCGTCTGTAGTCTTCTCACGCGACGGCAAACAGGTTATATCTGGATCTGATGATGGGACGGTATGGCTCTGGGACGCGGCTACGGGGGCAATACTCCAAACGCTAGAGAGCCATAGTGCCTTTTCCCCTAGCGGTAAGATATGTCCCACCTTGCAAGTATCTGGTCAATGGGTATTAGAAGGTAACACGAAGATTTTGTGGCTGCCTCCCGATCATCGCCAATGTCAATTAGCCACGTGGAACAGATATCTTGTTTTAGGGCATTCTTCAAGGAGAATATCATTGTTCTACTTTAACAAAGCAGCACAACTTGTCATGTAAAACTGAAAGAAATATTCAATTTCTCGCCGGGCCTGAGGGAACATTTGCCAAATGCCATCTAACGTTAGCAATTTTAAGAGTAACTTAAGTCTGTTGCGCCATAAAAGGAGATTCTTTGTGAATCCGGCACAAGGCGCCGACGCCAACGTAATGTTTTCTGTCACAGGCGTTTAAGATGCTCAGAGTGGATATAGAATCTAACTTGAAAAATTCGAGAAACAGTAAGGTGTGCACCAATATTACGATGATTGAAGTCAAAGTACTTATCACTTTTTCCGGCACGCAGGGTTGGACGATTACACAGACATAGAAGCTGCCACGAATCCATTAATCCATTAATCCTTTGCGGAAACAACACAGGTGTCTTAATTGCTGAGCCTCAAGTGGTGTCTAAAAAGTGCTTGGATGGTACGCCTCTGGTCCCAGACTTGATTGGTAGAGCTCTGTCGCTGCCTCGGAAGTATGCTACTTCGCTGATAATAGTTACGTCTTTCTGCAGCGCAAACTCAAATGTGATAGGTTTCCGGTGATCTAGATTGATGGCAGTAGGTATGATACGAGCTCGGACGCCATTTAGCAGTGTGCTTAGGGATCTAAATGTAACGTTGTGGCAGATGCGAAAAGATGTGATTGATACTGGATTAAGTACAACTTCGGATTTTTTGCGATTCAGCAACGACAGACGCACCAGACCAGTGGAGCTTGCCTTTATGCCTGAGGCTTTCAAGATGGGAACGTACGGAACCGTGCGGGGCAGGACCGAAAGTATTGAACCGCGTGGCGAGCTTCGATAGATTTACATGCTACAACAGCCACAAGTCTGACATTGACTCTCTATGTGGTTAGGGCGCCCAGGAGCTCAAATAAGACCTTTCCAGAGATTTTAAGAGTAGTGAGAGCTCAGAGATAAAGCGGTGATGAAGAAAGTGTGTTTCGCTGTAAAAAGACACCCTTCTAAAATCCGCTCATAACGGCGACAAAATGAATATGATTCTCTAGTAAAATAGGTTCAAGGTGTCTTAAAATAGACTCAGAGTATATTTTTCAAACTAGTATGTAAGATATTGTATTACGTATAGACTTTTGATGTTCAAAGTCAAGGTACCTGTTAGTTTTTCTGGCACGGAGGGTTTTCCGGCACACAGGGATGGACGTTACATGCTTCCCCTAAGCACTCCTAACCTACTAGTTCCAAAAAATATTATCGTGTCATCGCCGCCCCATTAGATACACAGAGAGCCTCCTTTTACCCTATAATCAGACCACTCGACTTTAACACTACCATTAAAAATTTTTCACTATTTAAACATATAAAACGATTAAATATGGACGTCCAGGTCCTCTAATAACACGGAAATGCTTATTACCACTTTATGGCAGCCAAGGCGTGCCCTGTCATACGACGTCGCCACATGGGTTGATACCTCCTCTAATTAAGCGAGCAAGGACCCCACTTAGCTGCGTCGTTGGTTACAGTAATCTCAGTAAAATCAATTATATTAATAATGTAAAACCTGTGGCTGCTAGTTTGTGAATGCGAAGCCGTGTGGCTGGGTTAGGGCGGACCTTGCCGGAAAATCCCGTTTCCCGACATCCTCCGATTGGCAAAATGTGGCAGCCAGCCACTTCCGGCTTCTTGCTGCCTGCCAGCTTTGCGTTGCTGGCTTTTCATTTCCAGCTTTTCACTTCTGGGTTTTCCCTCTGTTTGTGCTCTGCTTGAAACGACGAGCGGCTTCGATTCCTGCCAAAGACATTCAAGGAAGAGATTGAGATAAAGCCGAGAAGAGTAGCATGGCACGCAACGTGTCACACTGCAATTGGTTTCCGGCTAAGTATGTGGTTTTGTCTGCTATTAGCACTTTGCATCGGTACCTAACCAGACCGCCAAGTTATAAGACTTTAAACAGTGGCTCTTTCTTCTGCGGATGGCCGAACAGTCTGTCCTCAACCGTGGTACAGCTTCAAGCCTTCTTGCAGAAACTCCTACTACAGTATGACCGAAGAACAGGTCCTCGACGGCGATGCGGTTTCAAGCCTTCTAGGTCAGCCAGGAGATCCATTTACGGAAAATTTGCAACATTCGTGGAGTGTCGACGGTTTGCCACCATTTGATGCACCGTTTCTTAGAATATGGGACAGCAAGTCAGGGAGTCAGCCAGACAATGAGGGCCGCATGAGATCGAGAGCACCACGTCAACGCCTCGATACTCGTGAATCACGCAAAAACTCCTTGGCTATACACATTAATCACAAGAGATGGGAGCCAACACCCTACATATCGTTCACAACATCTCCAGCAGCTATTCAAGAGATGGCGCCTTGGAGGGCAGGCCGAAGGGGACCCCAGACCCTCACCGTCGTTGATCCTAACACTCGAATCGCAGACAGGCTGCCTATCCTTGACGTACGTGCCGAGATGGATCACTATGGGTTGAATGATCCATATGGAAAATCGAATCAATACTACATAAATCACTATGTTTGTCTATGGGAGGTCCCAGAACAAGAGATTATTGGTCACTGGACATGGAATGATCTTGCTGCAAATGAAGATTGGTATAACGACATTATCGTGCCCGCTTTTAGAGAAAATGCGACATCCAGACCTCTGGAAGAAGAGACTTCTGGCTTGCTAGCTGCTATGAACCAGCTTTCTTGTGCGTTTCTTTTGAGAATATTACATAGGACACAGCTGATTGAAACAGTTTATGACTATTCCGACCCCTCTGACCCAACACACTTCTTTTACGGCGACTCGGATTCATCGAGCGAAGGAATCACCTGTTACTTCGATGAGGAACTGGAATACGACACTGATGATGAAGTGGAGGAGGCTAATGCAGCTGATGATATGTTGAAAATCATTAAGAGCAATTGGTGAAATTGAAAATAATTGAACCCTAGCATCCAAGGGGAATCCGTTCTCTGCAAGATTGCTCGACGAAATCAATGATGACCTCAAAGATGACAGTGTCCGTAATGGCTGCCAGAGTATCAGAAGGAGCAGGGCGTCAGCATGCCAGACTGCGATGACATAGCCAAGAAGGTGGCACGTCAAAGCGCAGTATACATGCAAACGATTGCGGGGCAAGCACGATGGAGGAACGTCAAAGGCTGGTTATAACCTTCTCGTATCAATAACCGACGATGATTACATTAAATCTAAGTTTCTATACAGCAACAGGTCGCCTCAGACTGATCGATCCTCTATCACATGTTCAAATAGCAATCTTGGCCTCTACTACCACATCTTCGCCACTGGGGCTGTCCATAGTTCTAGCGCAATCTCATTATCCACAATCTTTATGCTGCTGACCTGCCTCATCAAGGTACTCGCCGGCTTGGGGGCATTGCTTATCCGTGCCATCTTGGTCGTTGGCGCTGGCAGGTCAAGCGCGGCACTCTTACGCTTTCGACCACGTCTCGCCGACTCTGCAGTATCTTCTTCTGCAGTGTCTTCCTCTGCCTCGAGCGTACTATTCTTCCGCTTCCGACCACGTTTCCCCTTGCCTTTAGCTGCTCGAGTAGCTTCTTTTACGATCCGCTTCGCTCGTGCTTCTTCGAGGTCCTCATAGCTCATGACCTTCGCCTTACCTAGTACCAATAACTTAGTCGATCGTCGAACCTTGGCTTCGTTATTAATTGTGGTCAGGAATCGTATTCGGTCCTCCTAGAGGACGCTTAGAGCAGAGGATTTCTGGAAAGCTTTAGTACATTTCTGTAAGTGCTTTGCTAGGTTCTGTTTGCTCGTTTCATCAAGCGCATAAGCATCCTATTGGATGATCCGGTTCTGCAGTGACATAAAAGCCTCTGCTGACACTGGCGTCAGAGGCGTTCGCAGTTCTTCGTCTTGCCGATAATGCACTTCTACCTCTTGCCGACAAGATCCTACCTCCACCTCATCGATTCTTGGAATGGCTGGTTCAGCTAGAGGGGCGGGCATACTTCTGAGCACCCTATTTGGATTGAACGGGAACAGGCCACTTGCAGCGAAGCCGGCCTTGATATTCTTGGGCGTGAATGCTACTTTCCTTGCGGGGCTATAGAGAGCAGTGAAGTGCTCCTTGCCGATTGTATTTATACCTCCTTGCTCGAGTCGATCAACCTGGTCATGATAGGCTGCCTTGAGTGGGGCAAACGGTGCTACATCACAAGGCTGGAGCTTGTGGGAGGTATGAGAAGGGAGACGACATAGAAGAATATTGTTCTCAAAACAGAACTCTAAGATTTCGAGGGTTTCATGCGTTCTAAAGCTATCGCAGATTAAGACGCGTGGTCTGTTATTAGCTCGTTCTCTGGTTTCGGGATCAAATATACGCTTGAGCCACTCTAAGCTGATCTTAGAGTCGGTATATCTAGAGTCGGAGATGCATACTGCCATCCAGGAGTAGGAAATGTGGTCCAATTACTTCGATGGGTACTTGCTGGCCAGATTATCATCAGGTTCAAATACCTACCATCGCCACTAATACATTCGATTGCGGTCACAGATGTGCGCTTAACTCTCGCACCTCTATAGTCTCGCTTGTCGTACTTACTTATGAGGACTTTAACAGAGCTTGGCATGGATAGCATTACTCTAGTCTCGTCCATGTTATACACGTTCTCGACACGGACAGCCGGATCTTGTAATACTTCTTTGATCACCTCAAACCAGTATATGATCTTCCCATAAATGTTCTTCTCGTGACGGTTCCAGTCTAAAGCCTTGACTCTCCGTGCTAGCAGTATTGGATGGCGTTTTTCTAGAGCCTTTGCCCAGTTTTTGCCAGGAGCCTTGGATGGCCTTTTAGTGGTTGGTCGATGGCGGGTGACACTATAGGCTAGTGAAGGGATAAACTTTATTCGTACTGGATAACCAAGGTCAGCCATTTAAAGTAGATACTTAATGATAACCTCTTCTTCATATGGTTTGAGGTACTGTTGCCCTCGGGCCTTCTCTTCCCTCGAGGGCCGTCCGCGATCACGATGATAGAGTGTAGAGTAGGAGATATTGCCATGATGATCTGCAAGATCACGGTAGGATTTAGGCACGCTAGGCGGAACGCCTTGCGCCAGTACCTGACTGGCTCTGTCCATATTCTCCTACCGTGGTGATGGTATCGTGAACGAGACGGTTGACTGGCAGCGGTTTGGCAACGGCGTACTAGAGGGCACGTGCCTATGGAAGGTTCGAGAACATGCTATTTATAGCCGATATCCCTGTGGAGCGAGGGTCGTGGAATCATTAGTCAGCAGCACTCGAAAGCACAAGCAATCATGTCAGAGCTCTGTCAACAACACTCCCAACACCTACTGAAAGGATCGGACAACTGGTTTCCGTATCAGCAAGTGGCCACCTCATTTCATTCACACGAAATACAGTTATGTTTCGAAGTCTAGCTAACTCGTTATCTTTGGTAGGGTTTCTGAAGTGCGAACGCCGCGACAACCCATCATGAAGCAAAATCCAACTCGAGTGATCGTTCTTCCGGCACAGCTGCAACTCTGAAACGCAGAAATTTGTGACGCTCCCAATAGCCGCGAGAAATGCTTCTTCCACCATGCCAGCTACTCTCAAGCTCGATAACGGGCAGCATATTACATACGAGTCGGCCATCAAGAAAGATGAAAATATCATCAATGAAGCGACATACCCTCGAGCAAGGAAACAGCTCTTTCAGAAGCTATGGGATCAGCGTGCAACCATCCAGGCAATTATCCGGCATCACCTGAGACTGCGCAGTGAAGATGCTTGTATTGTCGAGGACCAGTGGATTCGTGGGAACTTCAATGTGTGTATACCTGTGGAGGTTAGGTCAGCTGGCTTCAATCAGAAACTTATCTTTCGCTGTCCTATGCCACACAAGCTTGCTGAAGCCATATACCCTGGCACCATTGACGAAAAGCTCAGTTCCGAGGTGGGAACCTACGTGTGGATGCAGGAGTATTGCCCTGACATCCCCATTCCACAATTATACGGCTTTGGCTTCTGTGACAATCGACACGTAAGTTCTTTATATTACTTGCAAAGTCCTTGCTGACACTATGGCTTTGTATAGTTTACACACGAGAAACAAATGCCTTTCTACATCCGCTTCTGGCGCCGGCTCCAGCGATCACTCCGCAAGTACCTTCGATACCCAACTCTGTCTCAATATACTTCCAACCCAACTGGCGAGCGCCTGCCTACTGCATATATGCTGTTTGAATATATCGGTCCCGAAACAGGCGAACTGCTATCAGACACATGGAATCAGCTACGAGAAGACCCAGTCCGGAGGCAAAATCTCTTCCGAGGCATGGCGCGCTTGATTCTGTCTTTGGCTCGTGTTCCCCAGCCTCGAATAGGCTCATTCGAATTTCATAACAACGGCACTATCACACTGACAAACCGACCACTGTCTTGCTCCATTATTATATTGGAAAATAATGGCGCCCCGAGAACAATATCGAAAAATGAGACATACACTTCTACGGAGCCTTTTGTTGCAGATATGCTTACATTCCATGACGACTTTTTTCTCAGCAATCCACGCGCTGTTTCAAGTATGGGAGACTGCCTTGGACAAATGGCTTCGAAAACATTGCTCAGAGCAATCTCGCATCACTATATTCGGCGCGAAACCCGCAATGGGCCGTTCCGTCTTCAGCTTACCGATTTCCATGCGAGTAACATTTTCGTTGATAAAGACGGGAATATCACATGTCTCATTGACCATGAGTGGGTTTGTGCGCTACCTACCGAAATGCTTTCCGTTCCGTATTGGCTTACGGGATGCGCCATTGATGGGATGACGGACGAGAAGCTTCGTGAGTTCGAAATAGTTCATCAGGAGTTTATGAATTTATTTGAGGAGGAGGAAGTCAAGAGCATGCTAACGAAACCGCCTGCGATAACACCAATTCTGCACGACGGCTGGAGATCTGGAGCAGTATGGTTCTGGCATTGTATTACGTCCGTAAATGCCGCGTGGTCTCTGGTCGAAGATCATATCGGTCCTAGATTTGTTCCTATCTCTACAGATACCGAAAGAATATTTTCACAGTATTGGTGTCAGGGATCTTCTCAGGTTGCTGGGAGAAAGATCGCTGAGCGGGAAGAGTATGCGAAACAGTTACAAGTTCTCTTTGACGAAAAGGCAGGCTTTTCTACAAAGGACGAGACTCATAGCTAAATTTTTATTGACAGAAGACACAAGCGTCAACATATGTTGTTAGCCATTCCAACCTATGTCTTCTGCCCATCTTTCTCTCTTTCTCTGTCCTGTCGCTCTTTCCATTCCTGCTCCTTCTCTGCCCTTTCTTTCTCCTCTCTCGCCTTTCGTTTTGCTTCCCGCTCATCTTTGGCGCTCTTGCCAGATGAGATCGTAGCCGCCAGGTCCTTTGCCTTGCCACTCACAGCAACTGTTGCCTGCGAAACGGTTAGAGCCACTATCATGTATGATTCAATTAATTGATACTTTCTTCGAACTGTTCTGCCTCCCCCGTACTTGCACTCCAATTGCGGTCGGTCATGCTGGCTGGGTATTGCTCTGCGGTTAATTTTATTTCGTTGCGAACTTGAGACGTAAATTATGCATATAGTAAATTAGTGAATCAAAGTTAATGAGAGGCCTTACATATTCTCAATATTACTTCTTTTACCAGCAACCATGTGATCATGCACAGTGAGGTGTCCAAATTCGTGTCACTCCTTACGGTATGCAGGTCGGATAGCGACGGCTGTTACGGATGGTAAGCCACACGCGTGACATTCTACCCCACATCAATGACCAGGTAAAAGTAGTGGCTGAGGAAAATATAGCGAGAGCCCAGATTTATACGGTATAATGTAATCCCGCTTATGCATATTAATAAGCACAAAATGGGAGCTAAAACATATGGCGTTTATGCACCCCTCTACTCACATCGGAGAAACTCCCGGGTTGCATCATTTCCCCTTCAAGTGCCTTCAAAAATTGGAACCATATTCTTCGAATATGGCTCCTTTCCCTAAGTGCTCCGAATTTTAAAGAGACTCTTATAGTCGTGATTAAGCATAGGGGTACAGCTGAAACGGCGATCAGTGGCGTGATTGAAAAGATCGACAGCACAACTAACCACAGTTATTTTCTTCTTGCTAACTGGTCTCCTTAGGGAGAAATTATTAAAGAAAATACCATTTTAAGCATAAATTCATAGACATGCAAAGAAAAAAATTATGATTAGGAAACTATAGATTTGTTTCGTTACAGGGTGCGTTTCGGCACGCAGGGACAGACGTTATACCCCCTGATAGATTAGCATCACAGCCGGGTATCAACGTGATCGACGGGGTTCGATGCACGTATTGTCAGATGTTTATGTCGACGAGTACGATGGAAGTCAAGATGCACTGGGAGTTGGCCGGGCATGGCGCTAGCGATGGGTGTTTAGTTGAACTGGTCCGAATACAATCGTGGGGATAGGTACGATTACGAAAATAACAACAGAGCGCGTATGTATTGGGAGGTTGATGAAGGGACGAAAAGATCCGGGGCGGATCGAGGCGGATTTAAGCATGTAGGTGGATTTGAGGACGGATAGACCTTCGAGGAAAATGACATGGACGATTGGGAGGAGGTGAGCGAAGGGGAGGGTCGATTGAAGGAGGACGAGTGCAGTTTATTATAAGGAGGGAGGATTAATTGGCGCAATATTAGATTCATACAGAATAATTCATATAGAGCCACAGTACTGTAACGATTGTTACCCAGAATATACATTAGGTCTGCGTCGGTTGCATTAGAAAATGAGATGCCCTCCTCATGAGCCAGAACTTGCCCCGGTGCCCGAATTCTGTCGATACCAGTCCACATCCTCAGGAAGCCTCTCGAGCCTCTTTCCAATGCCGTAGAAGAGTGCCCTACCCTACCCTACCTCTCCAGGGAAGAAAAAAGTGGCGAATAGATGCACCAAAACTCGCTTGTCTATCACCCAGCACAAGAACACTAAAAAATCGAAATTTCTCAAAGTTCTTCAAAAATTCTTGAAATGAGATATATTAGTAAATAAGGATAGAGGATTACGAGTATATAGTTTTTACTTCAACTTTTGGTCGTTGTTGTGGTCAAATTTGGGGCTTGGCTGGTTTGTCATAGCTCTTGCTGACCATTCCGGCTGACCTTTCCGGCTGACCTTTCCGGCTGACCAGACCAGAGTAGATTCCGGTACCTGCGCGTCTTTCCTCCAGATACATAGGGCATGCTGGCTCTTTGAATCCCTAAGTCCCAGGTGGAACGGCCGCTCTTGCCTTTTGCGTCTAATCGCGCTTCATTGCTTCGTTCAGTAAGCCCCAAACTCTTTGAAGGACTGTCATCCTCCGAATTCGACCTCAACGCTGTCGCCTTTGGAGACCGACCACGACGTCACTGGAGTGAAATCAACCTTAGTAGTTCGTCCGGATCTTTCAGCTGTACATCCTTTGGTCCTATCTACAACCTTTCGGCTTGTTGTCCTTTCCCAGGATGCATATCCTGTCTGATTCTGCCTTGGTCAGTGAGCTTGACGTTCAAAACTCTATATCTTTAGCTCACATGTACCAGAATATCTGCGAACCACTTTCCGAACGTGCTATCAATATCGCTATGCTAGGACCTTTGACACACGATGAAAGCCACGAACGGGTTTACTGCTCTTACCATTATCGTTTCCTAAAGCGAAGCCTCCGCCCCTCCGAATATGAGACCCCGCGATCTGGCAAACTATATATCCCATTTCGTAATAGGGAAAGGCTGGAAAACGAAGTGGCTTGCCTAAAATATATCAGACAGGAAACAGATATTCCTCAGATCATCCGCGCCATTGGAGCCCTCCTTGGCTCTGGCGCTTCCATCACCAGCGCTACTTCTGGCTCTGGCGTGTCTGCCCTCATTCGCTTCCGACTGCGTTTTCCTTTGACCTCTTCTGTAGCACACGCCACTTGTGGCCCTCGCTCTGGCTCATCCTCATCTGCTCTCTACCGCAGCACTCTTACGCTTTCGCCCACGCTTCCCTTTTCCCTTCAGAGCGTTTTTCGCAGTACGCTTTGCTCGTGCCTCGATATCCTCATAACTCATCAACTTTGCCGTCCCTAGCACCACCGACCTCGTTCTAGCTGACCATATAATCGACGCTGTTCGTTCGTATTATGTTCACCGTCTCGTACGCATAAGTAATAATAAAGCTCGCAAGGCAGCTGGAAAGGCAACGGTACCTAGTGTATCGTGCCAGGCTTTAGCGTCAAGTAGTGATCCCAGCTGCTTCACGAGGCTTGGTGGTTCGCGGCGGTAGTTGCGTGGATCTTTGAAAGTCCGATGTGCTGCGTGTGCCAGTGCTACGAAAGGTGGTGGTGGTGGTGGAAACAGCTGCGGCCAGAGCCTTGACATATCGATGTTTGTGGAGTACTGTCCGGCGGAGTCGACGCCCTGGGAGCTCGTCTGAGGAAGCAGCAGAACATTCTAGCGGTCACCCTAATTCTAGGTCAGTGGCAGATAAGCGAGCGACATCGAGACGGTTTTCGAGCCCCGGGATTGTGGATCACGGCCTGACCGTAAAATGGGGTTATGTCGGTGTCTGAGTTGAAGCACGCCAACCTGAAGCCAGCTGAGGTGTCGCTTGCGGTTTCATCTACTAGGGTGAGGCCAGTCCGCTGGGTGCTCTCTGGTCACGAAGGGATCGTAGAGCCAATCGAGCCTCCGACGCAGGTTATGGAGATGGCCGCGGCCCCTTACAACAACCACGCGGTTCCTAAGGCGGAGCAACACTAATAACAGAACGTTCTGGCAGAAGATGTACGGGGAGCTCGAAAGAGTTGAAACCCACTACTGACCGTATGGCCTCATCCACGACAGCACGGTCATCTCCATAGGAGAGGCTGTAGGAGACGATTACGACCCCAACATCGAGCAGAGGATCCCAAAGGAGAACCAGAGCGGCTTCTTCAACGTTCAACGCGTGCTACACCACATCCTCGAAGAGCGCCGGGAAGGTGCGCGCACTTGCAGTCGGAGTCTCAATCGCAGTCCAGACGCCTCGTACGATTCAAATCGCGTGTGAGATCTTAAACTAACTCATTCAGCAGCTCCATCGGAATTCGGGAATCGATTGTAAGGAGTATGAGGTACTGCACGAGAGTCGTTGTCAAGACGTGGTTTGCGCGTTGAAGGTGTGGGGGAACTACAGCGAGCCCAACATGCCGACTCTACACGCATTCGCGTAGGGGAAGGTGTTGACAATCTCCATACGGAATCGCGACCGTGTTGCAACTTTGACATATGGATGCGCTTAAGCACAACTTCCCATCCACGATCTACAGCTTAATCACGGTTCCGCGCGGAGGTACAAAGGAGGAACTCCGCGTCTAGGAGAAGCCAAGCTCGTGTCCATGATGATGCAGGTGCTCTCCTGTTGCATCAGGGACGCGATTGTAACCTCGGACATGTGCATCACCATGATCTGCTCCATGTGTGAAAGACTGTCTCCGCTTAATTGCGACTGTTCGAGGTCGAAGCCAGCTCCGAGGGACGTTTAAACCAGGTACTCGCTGGTGGTTTTGGATGTGTACTACACTATGGCTATGATGAACACCTTAGATACAGTTCAGATTGCGCTCACGTACGTCACCTAGTTATGATCACGGCCCTCTCTATGATTTCTACCGTCGTCGCGTCTACATTGACCCACAGCTCTTGATTAACCCATGTTCTCGACTAACCCATGCTCAGAAACGGCTCCACGTATGTCGACCTGCCAAACTTCACCTCTTTGGCCCCACCCGACAACGACCCCACAAGCTCCATCGTGGCCGGGCCGTGGCCCACTCCAAACCGGGGCATAGCGTCGTAGATGTACCCACACCCGAAGACGGGGATTTGTTGCTCCTCAACATGGATATATGCTGAATGTGGTATGAGATGCTGAATGAGAACACGGCTGGCATTCCGGTTGAGTTCATAACCATGATCTTGACTGCAAGCTGAAGGTCTTGCTGAAGTCGTACTGCACAAGCTTGTACCCCTTCGGCTTTGTGCTGATTAGACTGAGGTCAATCTCAGGATCAATCGCAATGTAGGAGAAGCCTCTGGAAGTCATTTTCTTCCACTACTGGAATCTCCCCACGCTGAAACTCACGATCACCCTTCTTTCTGCGGGTGCTCTCGCCTGTGCGGCCTCGTAC